AAGTAGGTATTTTAGCCACATCAATTCATTTGTAGTTGAAGCCATAACTCTATATTCAGCCTCTGAACTGGATTGAGCAACCACATTTTGTTTATTGCTTTTCCAAGTAATTAAATTTCCTCCAACCAATGTAAAATTGTCGGTAGTAGACCTCTTGTCAATTGAACTATCTGCCCAGTCAATATCAAAATAACCAATAATATTAGTGTGACCATTCGGTTTCAACCAAATACCTCTACCAGGTGAAGACTTAAGATATCTGAGATTCCTGTCGACAACCTTCATATGAAATGATTTAGGAGCATGCATGAATTGTCTCACAAGACTAACCACATACATTATATTTGGTCGTGTCACAGTTAAAAAAATCAATCTACCCAAAAGACTCTGAAAGCGGCCCACATCTTCAAGAGGTTATCTATTTATTGAATTAAGTTTACAATTAATATCAACATGAATGTCAACGGGTTTGACTCTAAGTTTCCCAGTTTCTTTCAACAGATCTTAATACATATTTCCTTTGAGAAATGAAGAGTCAATTATTTGAATTTGTTACTTCAATACCAAGGAAATACTTTAGTTGACTAGGATCCTCGATGTCAAATATTTTGTGAAGATAATTTTTAAGCTTTATGATGCTTTCTTTATCATTATCTGTAATGATAATATTGTCAATATAAATGAGTACAATTGTTGTACTTAAAGTTCTCATTTTTGTGAACGTTGAAGAATCAGCTGAACTTCTAATAAACCCGATACTCATCAAGGCTATGCTTAGTTTGGCATACCATGCACTAGATGATTGTTTAAATCCATACAAAGCCTTCTTTAATTTACATACAAGACATTTCTTCTTTTTTTTAAAATGGCCTAGAGGAAGACTCGTATGTACTTCTTCTTCAAGGTCACTATGTAAAAGGCCATTTTTAACATCCATCTGATGTGGAGACTACCTACAATTAAATGCGAAAGATATAAGAATATGAACAATATTCATCTTGGCAACTGGTGCAAAAGTATCTTTATTATGGACTTCATAAGTTTGGATAAATCCTTTGGTCATCAACCTGACATTGTGCCTCTCAACAGACTTATCACTATTACATTTGATTTTATAAACCCATCTACATTTAACTGCTTTCTTCTTTTTAGGTAGTTTGACAATATCTAAAGTATGGTTCTTGTCAAGTTCTTGAAGTTATTCTTTCATGGCATTCCTCCACACAGTTTGGGAAATTGCATCTTGAAAATTAGTTGGCTTAGAATTATTAGAGATAGAATTCAAGAAAGCAAAATAGTCAAGAGAGATATTTTTATGGGAAACTTGATTTTTCCAAGTTATGTGTTCAAGCTTAGATTCTTCAAAGAGAGAATGAGAAATAGCTTTCGACAAATCTCGATAATTAAGTAGGAACAATAATAAGTTTCATGCCATAGTTATTTTCTAAATCTGCCATTATAAATAGATAAAAAGAACCATAAGATTGACCTAATCGATAGCAAAGGCGATTAAAGAATAAATGACATCTTGATCATAACCGACCAAAGATCCCAAACCATTTCTCTCACTAAAAATTGCCGATGTGCATACACCTGTGAATTAAATGCTAAAATAACAAATTGCTTTCTCTCTCACCACCTCGATCCTCGGATGGGTTAGCAACCAACAGATGAGCTACCAATACAGTAAGAAGGATGTGGGATGAAACAAGTCTGTATCAACATGAAGGTCAACTTGAGGGTGTACAAAATATAATCTTTTGCATTCCAAACAAAAGGCAAGTTTTAATCACTTGCATCCAAGGTGCAAACACGGTTTCGGATATTAGAAAGACGGTGCAATAGCGAGTCCAAGATGCAAACACAGTTTGCAAGATATTTAGAAAGTCCGTTCAATAAAAGTCCAGGATGCAAACGCCGTTTCCAACAAATTAGAGAGTCGGTGCGTTTGCAAAAAAAAATTCTCGGCGTTTGCATTTCTCAAGGTGCACAAAAAAATTTGCTGAAAATTTGTGTGAGGTTTCATTCCTAATAGTAGAGTCACAATGGAGATGTATCTTCAGCTTCGACTTGATCATCCTTATAATCTATAGATTAATTTCTAAAATGCTTTCTATTGCACATACACGTGAATAGAGATTATAAGCTATCAATCAAAAAATAACTTTCCAAATGTCATTTAGCAAAATTAAAGAAGGCTTGCATGTCATCTTTTTATGAGGGTCAACAATAGAATACTGACAAGTTTAGCTCATAAATTGGGATTAACAGTTTGATAACAGCGTATTAATCCTCCCTTAAAGCAACTCGTATAGACCTCTAAGTTTAGAGTTTTATATCATGTTACTCTTCATAGGAGGTTAAGCCCCTCAAAAACAAAGAGAAAAGAAGAAGAAAGAGGAAAACATTGGGTGAATGAGATTCATTTAAAGGAACTCTCAATTTGCCCATCACCAGAGGGCTCAATCTACAAGATCCGAAATGAAACCTTAAATCTCTCGTGTGACTTAAAGGACACATATGAGAAGTTCTTTGTTTGCCAATTATTCACTTTAAATTTCTCATATTCTCTGACATTATATTTGCATTGGACCTTCACTGTTTTAGTCTAATGTGGTCCTTTTAATTTTAGACTTTTAAACTATCCCAATGATTAGCAATGGTAAATTGCTTGTACCTCAATATTGATTAAATTTAAAACTGCCATTATAGATAACTATCATTATGTACATAGATTTGGAGAAAAAGATAACCTAAAAAACTCTGTCCTCACTAAATCGTACACTTTTCAAGGAAAAGATATAGTCAAAATAAGGTAAAGTTATAATTATAGCTCTTAGAAGTAGTGAGATCAAGGAGGTGAGTGCAGACCTTTAAGAATATCAATCAAGTCTTTTAAGAAGTTCATTCCCCTTGACTAGGTGAAACCTGCAACTTGCTCCTAGAGTGACATAAGCATGGAAAAAGTGATACGAGACTCCAGCATAGCTTTTGGTTGAATATGAGGAAACATTATGGAGAGGGCCACATTCATCCCAAAGAATGTGAAAGAACTTTGGATACTAGGTATCTTTTACTTGTTGATGGCTATGATTGCTCTCATTTTGCTTAATCAAGAATTCCACTTGAGGCTTTTCTTCATTAACATGTGGTAGGCTATGATGAGGCATCTCCCCAACTTCTCAAATAAGTGTAGGAAATTTTGTTTTCTTCCTTAACGACGTTCATATGGTTGGTGTCAATAATTGAACAATCGTCAATCTGACTCAGAATTGTGACCATTATCTAGGTGATTTTGGGTCTAGGGACTTTAGAATTGCCTTGATTCTGTAGTCTAGGGATTTCAGAATTGCCTTGATTCTATAGTTTTTATGTTCTTTACATTTAATTTCTTTAGTAAATATAGCCTGATCCATCTTCCAGATCACCTGATTAATCAAAATCTGACCCCAAAGAGTTAGGGCCAGATTTCCATTTTTGAAACATTTGTTTGCTGTGCAATAGAGCAATGTTCACAACTTATGAGAACTTTGGAAAATGCCAGACTTGTTATGGTCTAGTTGTAAAATTAGTTAGGGGATTAATCAACTACATAGAAGTTAATACCCAATCGAAGGCGTAGTTGAAAAGCAACCTAAAATTGGTCCCAGTAGTAAACAAAAGTTGGTGCTTGAACCTAGATGTAGTCATAGAGTAGCTATGGCTTAAATCTAAGTATAGTTTGAGGTCCATACTAACCTAAGCCTTGAACCCATCAATAGCTGAAGATGACTTAAGGGTAACAATGTGGCCTCATACTGACAGTGCTAAAAACCTAGTCCAATTGTGACTTACGTGATGAGAGCGACCGCAATGTTATTGGCACTTAAGATGATGAGACATGTTATATTTTTTCAATAAAATCTTCTAATCATTGACTAAGAAAATCCCATAATCCATTTCAAAATGAAACTTCTTAAATGATGGATAAAACAATAATAAATAATAGTCTAAGAAGGAACCAAACAATAGAAAATAATTTAGGGTATGATAATTGTCTGTAAAGGAACCAAACAAAAAGTTTTGCAAAAAAGAAAACTTGTTCACCAAACAATAGCAAATAATTTACGTTAAAATTGGCAAAATGCTTTAAAAAGTTTTCAAGAAAAAAAAACAGCCAGCAAAAACATTCTTCAAAAATTAATATGGGAATATATTTGATCTATCATTTAGGAACCATTATCAAAATGGTAATACTAATAAAAATTATAATGCTACAAAAAAAAATACACACACATGATTTTTGAGCAGTGTAAGTACTTACACAGAGCCACATAAAAACCAAAATACATTTTCAAAAAATAATTGGGGGAATGAATTTTTTATTTCAATAATGAACGATCCGATGAGTGGGAGAGTTTGGAAATTTTTTTTTCTAATAAACTAAACAAAACCAGGGACATTTTTTATACTTTTCCTTTTCTTTATCATCATGCAATCACTAGGATCGAAAGTGATGATTGATAGGGTGTAGCCATAGTGACATAGTGGGTGGGCACCTCTTCATGACCCTTCAATCCACTGACGGGACTATGGTACCTCATGGTCACATTGCTATTATACCAATGTGGAACATATCCCTTGCTTTATGTTTTTGTTCTTGAGCTACCTTATCCCAGAAGAGGGGAAAAAAAAAATAAAAAAAATAAAAATAAAAATACACATGTTTGACTTTCTTTCTTCCTTTTCCAATGCAGTCTTGTGTGACCCTATATTTTCCTCACTCAAACTTTAAGTATACAAAACCATCAAAATCTAAGTTCGGTGAACAAACCATCTTACATTAAACAAATTAAATAAGAAAAAAAGCTTAGATTCAAACCACTATTTTCATTAGATACATAGTCAACAACAATGTACACTCATTCAGTGTGGGTTACTCCTATCTTGTAACCGAACCTACAAAAATTTCTCTATCCAATTTAGACTAAAAATGTAAATATCTCACTGTCGGTAAAAGAAAACATAAAACCTCAAATGGCACGATAAAAATGGCCACATGAATTTGGTGCTAGGGCTCTGTTTATGAATAAAACCCCGGCCGAACTCAAAATGTTCACATTTAGCCCCGAGACGAATAGCCAAAGAAGCATTGGAAAAAATATTCTCAGGAAAATTGCCGTCACTGCAAACTCCGAAATTTTCGGCCCGTCGTCTGAAATTTCGTGGCCGAAACTTAGGGGCAAGGAAGCGCTCGAAGTTCTCCCGCCATTGACGACCTCACTGGTATCCAGTCCTTGCTTTCCCACCCCTCTTGGTCGAAACCACTGCAACTTATTAGGCTTTTGATCCGCTGCTTGGCTTCTAAAGCTATGTGACTTTTTAGGGTGTCAATCGTTTGTTCTTCATCAAAGTCACTGCAACCTGTTAGGATTTTACTTCTCTCATTTTCGTCAAAACCATTACAAGTTGTCGAGGTTTCAGTCCACTGTTTTTCGTCGAGGCCTTGGCAAATTGAGAAGGTTTTAATCCTCTGATTTGGGTTGAGAATGCCGGAATTCTGCTTAAGGCCGCCTGGAAAATTAAATTCCGATGATTCGCTTAGGACAGTTCTTGGAGAACACACGATTTGGTTGGAGGATGTAGAAGCCAAAAAGGGGTGGTGAAGCAACTGAGAAGCCGTCCACCTTTGTGATGGCTCTGGCATGAAACACTTGTCAAGAAAATCAAGGCCGGAATCTGAAATTCCGGCGAATTTTTCTGGTAATTTCGGCACCTTCCCTGTGGCCATCTCCACGAGCGTACAACCAAGAGACCATATATCAGATGCCGTGCCCTGTTCCCTCCTTTCTAAAATCTCAGGCGCCATCCACCTCAAAGTACCAGCGTGAATGGCAGGAAGCTCGCTCGAAACCATCTTTGCAGCGCCAAAATCGGCGAGTTTGACTTCGCCTGACAACCCCAAGAGGACATTCCTTCCTTTAACGTCACAGTGAATAATTCCCTTTTCGTGAAGGTATTCCAGGCCTCTCAGAATGGAGGCTGTGTAAGTTTTAATAGCCATCTCCGGCAACCCCTTGCTTCTCATCGAAAGTGAACACAAATCTCCGCCCTCCATATACTCCATGAACAAGTTCACCTTTCCTTCTCCGTCTCTGTCTTGGCCAAGGTATCTTACAACAAAAGGCGAATCTAGTTTCTTGAGAATATCAATTTCTCTCTCTAGACATTCCAGAAACTCTTCATCCTTGCAGGTTGCAGACTTCACTGCGAACAATCCTCCATCTTCCAGATTTCGAGCCACACTCACGGCTCCATAAGAACCTTCCCCTATAGTTTTCAGTCTAATCCAGTGTTTAATTGGAAGAGGAGCCGCCATTTTTGCTCTGGTAAAAAGTTCGAAAAGCTGCAGTTATGGTGACCTTGATCTGGCAACGAGCTTGAGTTCTAAATAAAATCTAAAGCACAGGGTGGGTTGGTTCTCCTTCTCTAATTGTAGCACCTCTGAAATTCCATAGGGTGGGTGGCTTCTCCTTCTCTAATTGTAACAGAGATGAGAACCTTCTGAAATTTGCAGACAATTCGTGATCTCTACTCTTATATATAGGTTCTGGGGATAGATATAAGCTAAAATAGCGCAAACTTGCAATAATAGTTATCAGGTAATTAAAAAGAAATACGGTTAAGGCATGAATGAGCGAGAAACTAACAAAAGGGTGGAATTTTTAATTTACAGTTATGCCCTTACCTCCTTAATAAAGGAAATATATTTCTACTTCTGGCTTTTTATTTAGGAAAATCTGATTCTCTTTTTGTTAACAAGATTTAATCTTATCCTCATATCTTTGTTTGGAAATTAATGAGCATCGCTTTTTATTTAGGAAAATCCAATTCTCACTTTTTATAACAATCGTGAATTTTATCGTCATCTCTTTTTATTATAATCTTGATTTCTTATTTTCATATTTATTTGGAAATTAATGAACATCAATTCTTATCTTCTTACCCATTTTTAGGGAATTCGGTTATTTTTATCTTTAATTTTAGGAAGGAATTTAAGTCGCATAGGAGGGACCGGGTCCAGGTTCATTGGGCCCTAGCCGCCGGTCTATTTCCACCCGCACGAGCGTGTGGACGAGTACGCTAATTTTCAGAAAGTCTCCAATTCTTTCGCGAAAGTTGCATCTTCTCAATGCAAGTGGTGTGCATTCTTCTGTAATCATGGTGCGGTTTGTTTAGAGCCCAGGCTCTAAACAATCAAATTAAAGCGCATCTTTTATTAGTGTCGAGAACTATGGTTTCAATAATGGAAATTTATGTGATAACTTTTAAAATATATTTTTATCTTTAATTATAAAATTTAATGCTTTACAAATAGTGTAGATCAAGCCGATCTACAAAAAACTTGAAAATCTTAGAAATCGACCGTCCAAATACAAGTTTGTACTCTTTCCAAAACTTGAAATCCATTTTTTTTTTCATATCTATGCATTTTGATGTCGAGATGATCAATTTGAGGATACTAAAACAACCTTTTCTAGTAAATTTTTTTCCTTCATATCTTTTTTAGTGATATTTGAGCATCAAAACAACTTTGGCTCTAATTTGATTGTGTAGAGCCTCGGCTCTATGGAAACTTTTTGCATGATTTTAACGGTGGGAAATTTTGTCCTAATAATTTTGACGGATGAGTGATGTTTACGGGAATTATCAATTATCCATAAAAAGAGGGAGAAAAAAAAGAAGGAAACCTTATCCATATTTTACAATGAAAATCGGTTGAAGAGAGAGAGAATGCCACATGAAGAGAGAGATATAAAGAGAAAGAGAGAAGGGAGAGAAGAGAGATATAGAGAGGGAAAGAGAGGAGGGAGAGGAGAGAGAGAGGGGTTCTTTTGGGGGTTTTAATTGTGTTGAAGAGGAGATCCACGTAGCCTGTTGGGTCTTTGAAGAGAGACAATTTAACATGAAGACAGAGTCAGAATTCCACATGAAGAGAGAAAGTGAGGGAGGAGAGAGAGGGGTTCTTTTTGGTTCTTGAGGCGTTGGTGGGGCATATGCTACTTTTGGGTGATGTGGGATATTTGTAGGGCTAGGAAAAACCGGCTGGTGAGCTTGGAATAGCTAGGGTTTCGAGTCCGGGCCGTTTTGGGAATCTCTTACCTAGGGTGTAACCCCACAAAATTTCGTGTTCAAAATCGGCCGGTTAGTATTTGAATCGGTCTTGTTTTGGTCAAACCAAATGGTTTAAAAAGCGGATCGGTGATCCGGATTGGATACTTCAAAAATCGATTCGGATCGACGAATTGGCGATCCGGATAAAAAAACGGCTGAATCGGTCGGATTAAAGCTTTAAAAAAATCCGAAAAAATTATTAAACTTCATTATAAATGTTGTTTTTTAGGAATCCAATAAAAAATGAAGGTACTATATTATTAACTTTTATTTTTTTTATCAATTTGTGAATATTGAGATGTTCTTTCCCTGTATAAACTTATTTTAACTATTAAATTTGCATCACATAAAAAAAAAATCATAGAATTATCATGGATAAAATATATAATTATATATGGACTATTATAAAGAGTAGACTAATCAATGAAAGAATGGCCATTAAAATCTCGTTTTAGCAAAAAACCCAAACTATTACAGCCTAACTAACTATAATCCAAAATTATTACAACTTCACTAATTATAATATTATAAACTGAAATTTTAATTATTAGTTTACATTTTATAATTATTTTATTAGACAACTAATAACAAATTAAAAATATTTTATAATATTGTCTAATTTAAAATGTATTATTTACAACTGTAAGAAAAATAGTACATTACATGATTTATAATGTAAAAATTCATAAATAAAATAAAAAATTTGGTTATCAATGTAAAAATTAATAAAATGCATACAAAGTTTGGAAATAACACTTCAATTTTTCAAAAATTTATTTTTTTAGGTTTCTATAATAAATTTAGTAAAAGAGATTGTTAGTAGAAAGATGGAGAATTCAAATAGAATAAAATTTTTATTTTTATTTTTTTTTATACCTTTTATATTATTTACAAAAATAATTATACCACTATATACAACAAAAATTAACTGTTATATAAAAAATTAATTTTTTTATTTTTCATTTTTTTATGTCTTTTATATTATTTACAAAAATATTTATATTTATACCAACCACTATATACACAACAAAAATATTTGGACACACGTGTGCACGCGTGAGTGTGCGTGGGGCACACTCACACGTGCGCTTGGACACACGTGTCCACACGTGAGTGTGCGTGGGGCATGCTCGCACGTGCGTGTCATGCGTTATGTGTGTGAACTGAGCTGAACTGGATAGAACCGGATGGGACCCGATGGTTCCACTCTAGAAACGGGCGGTTCCCGATTTTTGGTTGGAACCGGTATGGACACGGGTGTTTCTGAGTTGAACCGGGCGAGTCGGGTTCGACTCGCCGTTTTTTAAAACACTGGGTCGAACCGATAGGTTTTGCTGCTAATCGGACCGGTTAGCTGATATAATGGGTTTTACGAACAAATAGCTGTATGGCTAAAATAACGGCTGTTATTTTCAATTGAAGCCGTTATTTGATGCAGGAATTCACAAGACGATTTTTTCAAGCTTTTTTTATTCTTTTTCTTGCTAATTTTTTGGTGTTTTTCATGATATATAGCTGGAAAACACGATTTATTGTCTATAAAACAAGAACATTTGAATCCAAGATTCAAAAATCAAGAGATTTTGTGGATTGAAATGGCGGATTTTCATGCCTTTTGAAATTTCCACCATTTCAACAATATCATCTTCAATAACCAATGGTTTTTGTTGAAATTTGAGGTTTTTTAATCCTAATTGAATCATCTGCCATATCCCTCTTTTAATTTGTTCAAAAAATAAAATATTGAGGGTTGATTTTGGCTCAAAAAGAATTTGTGTTCGATTAAAAAAAAAAAAACAAATTTTGAATTGATGTTTTTGGTCTTTCTTTATCAAATTGATTTGTGTATTTTGATTATCAAGGCTTCATTTGTCACATAAAATATGTATGCTTATTTATTATTGAGTAAATATTTTTACATGAAGTTTTTCTGGTTCGATTTTATAGATATGAGTTTTCCACGATTTTTGAATTAAATAGGAAAATATTGAATATTTTTTTTTAAATGATTTTTTGTGTATTTGAAAGGATGATCGAAGCTTTTACATGGCTTGTGTGCTGATTTGTTCGATTATCCAAACATGAGGGTTGTTTCTTTGCTTGAATTGTTGCTCAATTTTAGAAGTTTTTGATAAATCAATTTTTTTTAAAAAAAATTATTTTGTTTAATAAAATTATTATTTTTTATGAATATGAAAAGTGTTTTTCTATTTTTTTAATAAAATAATATATTTTGATAAAAGTATGTTGTTTTGATTAATATGACAAAACCTATATGTATCGGCCTCTCTGTCTTGTGACATCATGTCTTTTATAAATGAAATTCTAGCTGGACACGTAAAAGTTGGTGGATTAATTTATTTTCCATTGTTTCTAATTGTGATTAGTAGTATCTTGAAGTGGTGTAAAACTTGAAACTGGAGTGCGTAAACATATATGTGTGCTTATATTTTTTAGTAATAAGCATAGACTAATGTAATGTTTCTGCAACACCTGAATATCTAGAGTACATATTTACACTGGGGTAATACATTTATGTTAAGGCGTTGTAAACTTATTATCAAACTTCATTCTAAGAAACACAAAGATTTATATGACTTGCTTGGGATCATGTACAAGACCATAGTATTCTAATATTAATTTACATAAAAAGTTGTTTTAATTTTGTTCATAGTATTAATTTACATAAAAAGTTGTTTTAATTTTGTTCATAGTATTATAATATTAATTTACATAAAAAGTTGTTTTAATTTTGTTTTTGTAAGATATATGTATGTAATAAGATATTATACACTTAATCTAAGTTTTTCAAATTATTATTATTATTATATTTTTTTTTGGGTTTTGACCTATTTAAAAAAAATAAAAAAAAATCTACTTGACCGGTTAATCCGGTTAACCACCTTCGTTAGTCTGGTTTCGGCTCTAACCGCTCCCAGCTCTATACCCAAATAACCGTTCCGGTCGATGCTTAGAGAGAGAGAGAGAGGTGGTGGCACGTTGAAGGTTCCGGTGCGTATGCTTCTTTGTCGCGACGGTGGATGACAAGAAAACGAGAAACTTATGATCGATGAATGGAAGTGAAAGTTATTGCACATAGGAGAGAAAGGGGGTGTTTTGTGTAATTTTAGTGTCCAGAGATGTTGCGTGTGCCCCTAATTTCGACGTATTGTCCCCAACTGGTCTGAAATCTGAGAGAAAGGGGTGCTGTTCCCTAATTTCGGCTTTTGCAATCCCCGATTAAATAAAATATAGACAAGTGGGTTGAGCCGATCAGCCACTAAGTTTGATGACCAGACGTGTGAGTTTGATTGTATAAAAAAATTTTAAAAATACAAAATTATTAAATTTTAGTTGATTAAAGAGCTTAAT